ATAATAATAATAATAATAACAACAACAATCCATTCATTTGTTATGTTTTCTGTGGGAGTATACAATTTTTCATATTTTTTATCTCCTTCTACTATGTAACACTTTCATTTAAAAAATTGTACGGACCAAATACAAGTGTGTAGCAGGAGAGTAAGTGGTTTTTATTGCAAAATAACCTTTGCAGCCACTATCTAAGTGTGTAAATTGTGAGGTTTATTAGTTTTCACTGGGAACGGAACTCCAGCTGGGAGCAATCAGAATGACCTTAACTAGTCACAGCTCTTTATCTGCTTTATGTCCACTTACATTTTACACTCTCCAGCAACTATCTTGTCATAAAAGTAGACCTGTTTTTGCAAGGAAGAGACTAAAGCCTCACCTCTGTTGCCAATAGAGCTATATTGGCACTCTGCAAGCAAAGGCAATGTAGATCAGCCAATACATTAGGGGTTTAGACAAATAAATCATGCTAGTTCTTCAGCTCTTGTTTACTAGCATCCTACAAACAGGAAGTGTGGAAAATTTTTTAAAGGTTTCCCTTGTTAAAGTAAGAATGCTACACATAAACCCAGTAATCTCATCTCCATTTCTTTAACAGCTGCAAGGAAATATCTCTTAGATTTAGGTAAAGTTATTGCTGAAGCAGAGAAGCAGTTCAAGTAGAAAGCCTACGTCTTTAATATTTTTGTGTACCAGTGTGATGAAAACTTCAGTTCTTTTTTTTTTTTTTTCCCCCACTGGCAAATTCTTATGACCAAGGAGCTAAGAAGTACTTTGCACAGGTTAATTGTGCTCATGTACTTTTGCATGCAAGTCTGACAGTAGAGATCCAGTTGCAGGGTCTTTAATCTTCTGAGTCTCGCATTTACACTCTTCTACAATCATTATTTCTTTGACCACTGGGACAGAACTGGTGCAGTTGAGATCCAGGCGCTTCATGGAGAACTTGCTGGGCAAGCAATGAGAACAAAAGGTATAAAGGCGGTCTTCTGGACCAGGAACGTGAAAGGAACTGCATTTTCCAAAACACAGATTGTTCTGTACCATCACCTTCTCACAGCTCTCATGAGTGACACCCTGAAACAGAAAGCAATTTGAAGTTCCTGGTACATGAATGGTGCATGGGCTTTACTAGAAGGCACGTAGGGAAAAAAAAAAAACAAACAAACAAACAATTTTTTCTTCTCAGAACATTTGCTTTAATCGTGTTTATTTTTTATGTCAAGCAAGTGGTAAAACATAAGAACTTTTACAAGCACACTTTAGTGTTCCTAGGGGCAGTTGTTAGACTGAGCAACAAAGGCAAAATCCGCTTCAATCAGAGCCTTTGTGAGCTGATAGGGGAAAATCCAGCAGATGGCTTTCTCGTATTTACCTTTTAATTGCTCTTTAGTTCTACATTTCTGACATGGTTAGACAGTCTTACCCGCTTAGCAGGACTCAAAACATAATTTTGGCCCAATGTTCTTATATGTAAACCACAAGCTAGACTCAACTGTAATCTTAAAGATTTGTTTCCATGTGGAAGAGGTGTAATGTTCTTTAGCAGGTTGGGTTGGTTGGTTTTTTTAATAAAAATCTTAAAAGTGCAATGGAAGTTCCGTAATCTCTTGCTTTGCAAGAATAGCAATTCCTTTTATCAGGAGAGCCTGTGTGAACATCCAAGCCGTTAAAAGCTAGACTGAAGTAAGCATTTTTATATTGGTGTCATCCTGGAGAAAGCTTGCCTTATTACATGGCACAAGAAGTAAAATGGTACAAGTTTCTAGGCCACGTCTATATTTACATGTGTCTACCAGTGAAATAAATTAAGTGAGGGATGTGATAAAACATGGTCCTTGACAGACTGTGATTATAGAAATACTGTGAATAGATGTTGCCTGATGAGGAATACAGCACTTTTATCTATACTATTTGCTAGTCTTGATGTTACATGACAGAATGTGCACGGAAAAATATACCAGATCTCCAGCATTCCTAGCACAGAATGAGATGTATGGACCTGTCTTCTGATTGATACAGCAGAAAGCAATCTTTGCTTAGCTGTAAGAAAACAACCAGCTTCCTCTGTAGATACTTGCACAGGGACTCTTTTTGTATATACACACACGTGTATATGTATATGCATATATATATATTTGTATAGGTAATCATGTATACAGATTGTTAGACGTATATTCATGGAATAGGTAATTACTCACAACTGCCCTGCTTGCTCAGGCTGGGTAAAAACATCTTTGCATGAAAAGAATCAATAACTTTCTGAAAAATGAACATGTGGCTTTCCGGTGTTTCAATTTAGCAGTTTGCCTCATCAGACTAAAGCTTTTTCAACCTTCTTCAATGGTGTTTTTCAGATGCTTACTGTACATGAGCATTCTGAAGTGGCCCTGTGACTTAGCAAACGAATTAACCCATGTGTCTTTAGTTGCTGATTACAAGAGACAGGAGAAAGGACAGGTTTATTGCTCTTGGACACCTCTTCTTACCTGGGAAAAAGGCAGGGTTCTGCAGTTTTCTTGGTGCATTTCATTGGTCTTGATTGGCAGGACAACCTCTTCAGATGCTGAATTTTTCTTTAACATGAAGTGGTCCCAAAATTTCTTAGCATCGTTTCTATAGGGAAGTTCAGCCTCCTTCTTGCTGGAATAGTGGGATGGAGAGAAGTTGTCCACAGGAGAGGTCTCTCTGGGTGCTGCCCAGGTTCTCAGGTCTTGGTCTGCATGGAATTCTGCATTGGGAAGGATGAATCTGGACATTTTTTTCTCCTCTTGTTTTTCACTTCCAGATGCCATCTGTGGAATTGCTACAAAAAAGCTTGGTTCTCCCAGGATTTCCTCAACACCTACTGGGTTTTGCCCTACCATCTCACGCAGACTCTGACTTTCAAGCAAATTTTTGTCCAGATAGAAAAGGTGCTGAAATGGCCTTTTGCTTTTCCTTTGTGGTGAATCTCCTTGTGGCTCTGTGGCTCCGAGACATGAAAGCGCTAACAGCTGAAGGAGAAGCAGTGACATGATACTGTAAAGTGCAACCCTGTAGACCCACTATTCTTGCAGTGAACATAGTTTGCTAGCTTTATATGAGAGAGAGCCTGGTGTCAGCTTATGGCTGCTGTCTGTGTGGCAGAGGAGGGGAGGGCTCAGGGGAGATCCTGGTGTGGCTAATTGCATTCATTTACTGTAGATTACAATTATGATAGGGGGGTTTGTGCTAATGAAACTCTGCTTTCAGTCTGGATTATGTGCATTAGAAGTTCCTATCTAAAATCTCGTAACCCAGGATGGCATGGGGGACAGAAGGAGTCAACAGGAAGAAATGTTTGGATAAGCTGTCTAGTTTAGGCCTAGGAATTAAGGAAACATTTGAGGTTGTGTATTAGCATGTTCAATGTGGTCTTCATTGTTTATTTTGACTTTCCACTCCACAAAGCAAGAGACTGTCAAAACAGGGAGTGTTATTTCAGCACAACAGGAAAAGGCAAGATGATTAAAGTTTGCTAAAACATGAATCTGGATCTGGAGACATCAAATTAGCCCTTATTTTTGAAAGTTGAGTCAAATTTTGGTCTTTCAGATTTGGCATATGACCCAAGGCCTCTAGCAGCACCACTGCAAACTGGCATATTGTTGCTCACACACCCAGAGGAATCTGTCAGAGAGCACCAGTCCTTGCTTCACCTCCTTCGTAGCAGGTTTGCAGCTGCTGGAGTGCAGACATATCACTAGCCTGGAATAAAAGGTCCCAGGGTGAAGAATCTCTATACCCCAGGTTGTCAAAGATTAACACTGCTACATCCTGTTCAGGCACCAAAGCCACTATGGCATCCTATAAATTTGGTAAACAAAATTAGGATTTAAGCAAAACATATTAGAACTGACAAATTTTATGATTCTTGACATCCATGTCTCGAGAAATATCTAAAGACTACTAGACCCTAAACTGGAGGCAGCTTTTGCAAAACGATCAAGCTATGTAAAATGTAAGAAAAAAAAAATCAGATAGAACATCATACAGAGGAAAGTTTTGGGAGAAGGAAAAGACAATAAATAACATCACAAACATCGATCCTAATCTGAAAATACTAAAAGGAAATTCTGCTTCAGTTAATTTGCTATTTAGGTACTCTAATATCTACACACTCCTGTTTCTACAAGAAGGTCTGTCAATAGACTCATAAACTTGTAGCTAATCTGTTCATTATTCTTGAAAATTTAAGTGGTCCATATTAGATGCATGGAGTTATTTGACTTTAATTTCCAGGGAATTAGTTTATTGCCTGATAATTGAAGACTAATTGCTTAGGAACATCCTTGTGAGGCACTGACTTATAACTTTAACACAGAGCTAGTAGAGATCTAGAGCTTTTCCTTACTGCATAATTCACTTGAGTTAAAATTTGTTCTAATCTTGAGGTCTATCCTGAGACAGAAGTGCATGGAGCTCCAGCAAGAATGGGATTCACACACCAACATTAGGGTGTATTTGTGTCTTGGCCTCCGTGGGGTGATCTTGTTAAGGGAAGAACAGCTCTAAAGCACAAGCTTGTTGGTCTGTGATTTCAGCTGAGAGCAATTTAATTCTGACACAGGTTTGGTGCCTTCCTGTAGTCTCAGGTGTGCCCTGGGAGGGCAGATTCTCCCACAACTGTCAGGAGTGAAATGATAGAAGATACTGGCACCTGCAACAAGATTGTGAGGTGTGCATGCAAAACGTCCTTGCACAAGCATGTGCAGCATTAGGGTGGAGCAACAATGAGTCAAGAGGATTGGTTTTATGGTAGATAGTTAATTAACTAGCCTAGAAGTGCAATTTGAATCTTCACATTCAGTCTTTATCGGCCAACAAGTTGAACTGAAGCAGTTGACCTTTGAAACTAAAATTCCTTGTATCTGGTGTATCTGGTAGCAGTCATTCAAAATTACTCAGCAAAGATAAGGACACTGTATTTTGAATTATCCTTTTTTCCTCTTTATTTTGGCTTCTCAGAGAGTTACAAGACTGGGCTGACACTCGGGCCTATGTATTATATTGTATTGATGCAGAAGGGTCTGACACGTTTGGCAATGTCTTTCAAACGTGACATTTGACAGTTTGAAGCAATGTCTATTTTTGCAGCTCATTGCTTCAGAATTTAAAAATATAAAGCTAACTAAAACAATTTAAATATTATTGCTTCTGGATTATAGCAACACAACAGAAGTGTTATTTCTGTTTGCTTTTATCAGTTCCAGCTATTTTTCACTTCCTTTGCCAGGAAGTGCCTTTTCTCTACCAGCCCTTTCTGTTTAGAAGTTACAGCTGTGGTATTGATCCTATAATATTGTAATAAACTTTATCCATATAAGCAAAATTGCACTAAATTACTCACCCATGTATTTACAGAATTGAAAACTGAGTGCATGAAAGGTCCAACTTACGTCCCTTCAAAGCTTTCTTAAAAAATCCCACCACCTTCAAGGTAAAAGAAAAAAGGCTATTAAATCTCAGTTAAATTTTACCCCAATTTGCTCTGAAAGAAAAAAAAAAAACTTATGTGTATGCTTGAAGGTAAATTCTACCCTTCTTATCTGATGTGGCTGAGGCATGGTTTGGTGCCAGATAGCATCTCAATTTCTGTAGGAGGGTTCTCTTTGTAGCAAGAATATGAGCAATATAATTATATTACCGCTGTTTTCAGAGGGTTCTTTCTGCAGCTCATCACAAAGAATAAATCAAGTTGCAAGCAGAAAATATGTTGCAAATAATGTAAGGGTGTCTCTGTCAATGCACAGATAAAAGTTAATTAAAGGTTAGTACTGGAATGATTGAGCTGCCCAGACACTTCTGTCTAAACTGATCTGGTCTGGATTATTGGTGCAGTGCAAATATTAAAAAGGAATGTATAAAACCCCGAGTATTGGCATATATGTATAGATGTTAAGTTGCTAGTGTTGTATTTGCACTGCAATGTCACTGAAAAAAAAAAAAAGTTTCAAGATCAGGATCCATTCATGGAATGTACAGTTATTTCCTGTAAGATACAGCAGGAAAAATGGCCTGCCTTAGAGGGCTTCAGATGTAAAAACACAAAACATTATTTACAAAAGGGTAGGAAAGAAGGCTGAAGCAAAGCAGTGTCAGCAAGTCACTCCACAACCTAAAGGCAGAAAACCTAAAGGCAGAAAACAGAGCTCTCTTCTCCTCTAGGCCAAGTGAGTTCTGGTTCCTCAGTTTTCTTGGATGATTTTACCTAAGATCTGCTGAGAGACAGAAGCAGCATGCCACCTCTGGTTCTGCCAAGGCCAGTCTAATACTCTTCCTTCATGCCTATGATATGAAGCTCTGGCTGGTTACCAAGAGACAAAACTGGTAAGAAATGGGACCTGGTACATCTGGGCACAGTTTGTTCTATGTTTACACACACAGTCTAAGTCTGTTCTGGAGTCATCTGCCCGTATAACCGTGCACAGGTAGCAGATCTGTCCTCTGCCCCTCAGCTTTGCCAGGGGAAGGCATTATGGGAAGGCATCCTGCCTCAGACAGTGAGTTTGGAGAATCATTCTGAAGTTAAAAATAGTAAGTATTTGTAAGTCTATTTGTGGTGACATCAACTGGATAGACTAATAATTGACAACAGAGTTTGGACTGTGCACGTTATCATTGTGTTCCAAACACGGCTAATCTCAGACTTCCACAAAAAGATACAGATCTTTTATAAAAACTTGTTCTCCTGCCTGATTAGCCTTTCATATAAGCATAACACATGTTTTCACTGTATTTTTGTTGTTAAATCTTGCAGCTAAATGCAGCAGTGTCTTTCAAGCAAGCTTTGACTTGCCTTCATAGTAGCAATTTATTTAGGACTTTCTGTTTTCACTAGAAATAGCCGCTGTGAATGTTTGCCCATCCTTTTCAACCTGTCAGGTCTATAGATGACAAGTGCTTTGCAAATGCAAAGTGGTATTATTCATTTGTTTCAGAGCTGTAGTTTATTCAGTCATTATGGACATAAACTGTGTAATTAGTTGCACTGCCAGTCAATGCCTAAAAATAACTCCCAGGCAGTGCATGAATTACTTGCCTTCTGTTGAGCTAAATAGTCTCATGATAGCATGATTGATGATTAAATCATTAAAATGGATTTTATATATTACAGTCCAATCCAATATCCTACCATTTTCAAAACACATCCTATGTAGACAAACTTGAATCCAGATACATCTTTTACAGAACCCATATGAAGACCTCAGAACTAATGAATTAGCACTGTGCAATTTATTTTCAATTATTGTACTTATCAAAGAAAGACATCTGTGGTCTTTGTTTGACTGAGTTTCAGGGAAACAGATCACATAGAGGCCTCATGGGAAAGTTATAATTATGAAACCAAAAGGCTTTTTACAAGGTATGATAGGAAAGAACAGACAATAAATCTGTTCAGTTTTGTACCTTCAACATTAGATACTGTACATCATGGATTTTCCCCTTTGCTATTCGGTTTGAAGTCTTCTGTTGCATTGCTTCTTTCTTCATTAATTTTTACCTTCCTGTTCACATTTCTCTGTTTCTTTTCTCTGTGCTGTAGCAACAGAACTGGAGTCATGAGTTTCAAACTACTGCCAAAATGTAGATGTGCACACTTGAAAACGTTCATGTGCATGCCCAGCAGGGCTAGGATAAATGTCTTTTCAGGTGTAGTGGCCCATATTCTCATGGCTGTAGTTGTATACACTGATGCAGTGGAGGGTTATCTCTCTGTTATAACTCTCAGGCTGGTAGATTTTGGACAGTTGTCCACCTCCAGAAGCATCTCTTGAATGGTGCTGGCAAATAATTGCTGCCTAATTGAGAGCATACCCAATTCCAAACCCAGCCTGAGGAGTTATGTTGGGTATGTGCTTGATTGCTGCAGCTTGTTAAGCTGTGGGACAGTGAGACAGGGGAGGGAGAGTCTGGGCAAAGAGACATTTAATTATTCAGGAAGACACATCTTTCTTAGATTGTAATGTTAATTTGAGAGAGCAGTGGTGAAGATTTTGACACCACCAAGAAAAAGTTTGTAGCGTAATCCAAGGAAGAAGGTGCAGATAAGGTTTCTTTTTTTAAAGTAAGAAAATATTTAGACTTACTGAAAAATTAATCTGTATGAATAAAATTATATTATTTTGCTTACTGTGCTTATACCCAGTTCTTTGCATACCAGTTTCCTATTCATTAGGACTACTTCTGACTGAAAAAAACACATTATCTCAACACTGTAAAAATAAACAAACCCTGTTGTGTTGTCCTCTAATCTTTTACTAGTTGTGTAGATTTAGAGGATAGTAGGTAAGCAATGGAATTCGAGTAGCAGAGTTCTCCATATGACAAGCAGCATAGCTTCTTAAAAGCTAATAAGAGGGGAGGACTGACATCTGCATCTCTTCCATGAAGATGACTGGAGCTACTGAGGGACAAGGAAGGTTTTTTGCACATTCTCCTTTAAATCAAAAATTATATTAAAACTCAATTTTATGGACTGATAGTCTTTCTTAAATTAATTCTTCCTCTTGCATATTTGTTTGCAGATCTGTAACATTTCTGAAATCTACTTCTTAAACAGAATTTTCTATTTGAAGAATTGTTTGCTCATGACACACATGTCCTTATTGTATTAATTCAGGAATAGGCTCATGCAGAAAAAGAGAAAGCATTCAGAAACTGCATAAACAGTAAGTATAGTATGTTTAACTATAAGTACATTTCTACTATGCCCAACACTATGTTTTTTATCACTAGGAAAAAAGCTTTAGTGAGATTATGAAACTGAAGAAATACATATTAACCAAAATATGTTTCAGCTTTGTTTTAATAGACATTACAAAGTTAAACATCATGATATATAGAGAGTTCTAAATACAAGAATTACAATAGCACCAGTCTTTGTTGTAAATAATGCAGAATTACAGTATTCAGTGAATTATATATACAATTCTCTCAAAGATGTTATAATTTTGGAATGAGTGAATAAAGACTTGAAGGTATTCAGTAAGTTTCAGTGTGTACAAAAGAGATCTGGAAAACTTTTCTGATTTTTTTTCAGATTAAAAACTTTATCTCCATGATATTAATAACAACACAAACATTTTAGAATATTTTGGTTTGGAATAAGTACTCCTGTGGCCAGTTGCCTATCAATTTTTTTCATAACCGTTTTCTTTGAGTCACCTACTTCTCTGTCAAATTTGTTTGAAATTGGTCAACAGATTTAAAAGACACATGACATGGAGAGAAGGTGGTTAAAGACAGCAGGCACACAAATAGCTCACATTCCCCATCTCTTTGTAGAAATCTAGGCTAATCGCTGGGTTCTTTTCACTGAACTGTTGCGTCTTAGGTCTTTTGCTCTTAAAAGGCATATGGATATTTCTGGTGAAATAAATCCATTGTTTATCCAGAAAGTGTGGCATCCAGAGATGAACACCAGCATTTACCTGCTACTTGTTCTTGGCCTCTTTGCTGATCCTCTGAATACTGCTTTTCCTCTAAGTTTACCCAGAGTCTAATTCAAAAGTATTGAAGACTCAAAAAAATCCCAATAACTCCTTGGGACTTAAAGCCCTTTCTTTACTGAACATCTTAGAGGCAACAACTTCCTATGGCAAAAGAAAAAGTGATTTATTTGTGCTTTCCCTGATTTGAGTATGTCGTATTCTTTGATCTCCAGCACTCTAACAAAAGCTGTAAACATTTCTGAAAAAATACTTCATTTTTAAGGACAGACAAATAAATTTTATGAATAAATGTTTGGACAAGTTCATTGTATGGAAAAACAATACAGCAGCCTTTCAGGGCAGAAGTGTCCTTGCACTGCAATATAAGAATTTTGGCTTCATTAAGGTGTTAGATCAAATGAAACCATAACACATAACATTTGCTCAACTAACATTCTGTTGGGTGCTAATATCTTCATACTCTTACATCACTTTAAAGCAGTTAAAATGAAGTATAGAAAAGGGAAGTTCTTCCCTCTTCTCACAAACACAAACCTCTGAGATCACTGTTGTCTCAGCCTAGGCATGAGTTGTTTATTAGTTACAGATCAAGTATCAAGCACCTTGATCAAAATTCCCTCTCTGTTAATGCCATTCATTTATTAACTAATTAGGAGAGTTATTTAAATAGCCTTAACAGATTTTATCAAGATAGCACCAATAAACTCAGCAGGTTTTAGAAAAAGAAGGCCCTAACAAAATAAAAGTTTATGTCTTACCAAGCTCTCTTAGTCAGTTGTCCCTAGAATTCCAGAACACAACAGCAAGAGATCCCAAGAGTGCTTTTTTTAGATCCTAATTTTTTTTGCAGTTGAAACTATCATAAATAAAAATAGGTCTAGATGGGTACTCAGAGGTACTTGGTTTGGGGAATTCTTGAAACAATTAGCCTTTCTATGCTTATCTAGAAAACTTACGCAAAAGTGTTAGTATCTAGCAAAAGTGTCTGGAAGCTTGGCATAAAGATTACCATGACACAGAAAAGAAACCCTGGAAATATTTTTGTCTGTATCTGTTGATACCAACAATAAAGGTGATGAGGTTCTGTCCACAGTATTTTTCCTTCACTTTTGCAATGCACTCATGCTTATCTGCAGCAGTCCTTTCAGAAGGGTTCTCTCCTATATACAAAGACTGTCCAGCTACTCACATGCATATTCTTTTAACATGTCACAGGCAAGAAGGAAGGATAAATAACCCACATGTACCAAAAGCTAGGAGGAGGCATGAATAATCCCTGGAAAAGCATCCCTTAGCCCAGAGAGAAGAGGTGATTCTGCTGCATCTGTCCCTCATAGGACTGAGAAACTGCTGTGAGGAACCCCAGAAGGAAGTTTTGCACCTCTGGTGCAAGTGGTGTATGGATGCAATTGATCCAGGGGCTAGCTGAACAGGCAAGCTGATAGGGAGCTAGGGGAGAATCAACTACTGGCAGCAGGCAGGCAGATGGGAAGGATGAGGCTTTATAAGGTACAGGGCAAATTCACCCTACTCAGTGCCACACCAACTGTCACACACTCATCATGGACAGAGGAAGGGTTTGAGATTAGATTAATACTTTTCAAAAGCCATATCTGCTTTCGTACAAAATACGTCTCATTATTACATTGGTTTATACACACATATAGATCCTATTGCTGTTTGTGTATCACCCAATATCCCAAGATAATATTCTAGGATTAAGCTTCAGTATTAATTTTTTGTGGGAATCATCCTTTGATACAGCATTAGAATTACAGATGTCCCATTATTTAATTACACTAGAAATTACAGAATCGTCCTGCAACTCCAGAAAACATGGCACCATTTTTATTAGGAATGTGAAACAATATGCAGCTCTGTGTGAGCAGATCCACTAGGATCTGATGCTGGTCTTGGGATGTAGAAAAAAAAAATACAAGGCTTTGCTTCTGTTGTATTCTGTCACTAAAACCTGCCATTGATATTTGCATAAGACATTGTACTAGGGCATCCACCAAAGAAGCCCCAGTCTCCTGACACAATGTCCCTCTCTCCTCACCCAAGTGGACCTAGTTTTAGCCAGCAGTCTGCCCTCATTTCCACTCCAAGCAGTCTTCCTCTTTTTGTGATTGCAGGGTAGAACTGCAGGTTTTATTGCAAATTAATTAAAGCAACAGCTAATTCACAACCCCTCCTTAGAAGTGAAGCAAATCAGCTGATGTGATATTTTCTTTTTAAAAATATAGGTATTTTTACATAGAAATGTGATTAAAGCCTTCGAGCCTAGCTCTTTGGTGTAAAAATACATAAGAGTAAATGACAGATCAAAGTCTCTGGGGAGAGTTCACAACCTTAATCTGGATTTAATATTTGCAACTGACCTGTTCCTTGGTTAGAGTCCAATGCATCTGCATTTCTCAGGCAGCATATAAAATAAACCTTGCTGATAATTATGACTGTTTTCTAACTGCATACCCTCACATGTCTGCAGGTAAAGAAAACTGAAACAATATGAATGTCCACGTGCTTTCACAGGGATCCTCCATTCTTTACAGCTTTCTTGAACATATATAGCTGTTCCGTTTGACCTTCCTGCAGTCAGTTGCTTGCCATTTTCCTCGCTTCTGCACCCATACACAATTTCTTCCTCTCTTTGGAAAGTGGTATGAGCCTCTTCTCCAGTTCGTGTAGGTTACAGGTTCTCCTCCATTCCACTCCCAACGTCCAGGATTGACTTGGTCGCTCAACCCTATATGAAATTGGCAAGACCAAATCAGTGATGTTTATCATCTCTGGAACCTGATGCCAACAGAAGCATGTTGTTCTATCCCTTTGTTTAAAAAATGCGTACAATATTGTGCTGAGGGGTTTTTTAAAAAAAAAAAAAAAAAAAAAGAGGATCTAGAAGAATACAAGTAAAATACAATTTAATATTTCATAAGGCAATTAGTGCCATCTCAATAAGGGAAAATATACTTTTCTTCATTATTGCCTCTCTAAAATGTTTTCTCTTTCTGTCTGTTGTATGTCTATCACCACCTAGGTTTCTCTTTGATACTTAAGATTCCAAGCAGAATGTTGTATTCAAGTCTGAGGAGCCTCAGATGCCTCCAGATTCCTTCTGAAAACAAAATCCTGCAGATCTTTGTAGACCTTTTTTACACTGTTGAAATTAACAGTTTTAAAACTAGGTTGTGTTAATTAATACAACCTAAAGCACATATTTTCACTTAGCCTTTGAGTTACTAAGACACCAACATGGGTGGTGTATATTCAGACATGACTTGTCTTCTTAGCCAGAAGCGACCAAGATCAGAAAATTGACCCAATGGTCTTGTAGTCTTTATCCTTATCAGAGGAGTTTATTTCTCTCAGATTAACAGAAACATGAGACCATTAAACATGATCCCAAACTAACTGTAGTTTTTAGAGTATAGCTGGTAAATCCATCTCAGGAAATTACTAAGAGCTGAAAATTGCTGTTCACAATTGCAAAAAAGAATGTAAAATGTGGACAGTATGGCAGAAACAAGGAGGGTTAGAAGAAAGCAATAGCACTAGTCCATGAGATAAGGCAGTCATTCACAGAAAGGGATCACAGAGAAGGCCCATCTGACTTCTTTCCGTTTCCCATTAAATGAAAGGTGCACAATAAGAAATGGACAGCTAAATCTAAAATTATGTAATTAAATCTTTTTTATCTGATCATCTAATTATTTCACAAGATTTCTGATACAAGATGACACCATTAAATTAGCAGTTAATAAATAACTATTTAAAGTATGGTTTTTTAAAAAAGGGTAGATCAGAGTGAAATAAAGTAACAGTCAAAAGAAAGCATTTATAAACAAAAGAGTGGGAGCTCCACCAGAACTTCTTTTACCAGCTACTATTAAAATGGGAAAGGTTTCAAGGCAAAAGCAACCCAGCAATAGGCAACATGATAAACTCTTCTTTTTGGTAAAAACTTATAAAATTAGACAGGTAAATTACGGCTTTCAGTTTATGCCTTGTCTTGAAATAGTATAAGCAGCAGAAAGGTGAGGACAATTCAACATTTGAAAACTGAACTGGAACTGCTGTGGCAGTTTCTGTTTTCCAAGGTGCACAGGAGCTGTAATCCTCAGAGGGAAGAGGCAGCTGATGTACTTGCCTATCCAAAAGGGCTTCCTCCCACTGAAGTCCCACAGCCACTGCATGTGTTGTTCATTAGCCACACTTGCTAGACTCCCCAGGTACCTAGACTCAAGGAGAGAGGACAGAGTAATTAGCATTCCACAGAGTGACAGACATCTCCCATCAACTTGTCAACAAGGGGCACTGATTCGGGTACAAAATGTATAACTGATGTTTCTCAGGAAACTGCTTACCGGCATGAAAGAATGATTACATGAAGATAAAGTCTTAAAATTCTGGATTACTTGGAGAGGAACCAAAGTCTTGGTCTGATTTTTCTAGCAGAAAAAGTAAATCAGAGGGGCAACTGAAAGAAGTGTATACAAGAAATGTCTGTCTCACACTTACAAACTGTGTTTTAAACGATTGACACAATCACTGATACACTCCTTTCTTTACAAGAATTGTCTGCCTACACTAAAATCCAAACAGCTTCATCCATCTGGGAGTAGAGCAGACTACTATATCTTTTTTTAAATCGTGTTCTGACAAAACTAAAGGTTTGAGCAACACAGTTAAAATCTTGGCCATGTTTCAAACATAATTAAGTGTGTGTAATTTAGGGGTCTGGCCTAGAGTGGTAGTGTGGTTCTGAGAGGTAATGTTGGGGTGTCTGCAAGACAACACGTTTAGTTCAGATCAAGAGCAGTTGTGGTGTGTTTTAACCAGATTATTTCAGAATGAAGCCAATGCATAAGCTCTGCTCTGTGTTTGTACTTAAAGTATGCCAACCCTGAAGGAGGACATGCAAACCATAGCCACTGAGTGGCCTTGCCACTGTCGAGTCATCCAACTAGTACCAAGCATGCAAGCACCAGCAAGCTGCTCTTAAGCCATTTAGAGATCAGGCTAAATCCTGAGCCAGTGAGAGACAAATGTCATCCTTCACATTTGCCATGAACTGTCAGTCATCAGTGGCTCCACTTTCTTATTTATCCATCTTTTTGCCTGCCTTGATATCATGTCACCTTTTTACCTGTCACATGTGCTGTCACCTTCCCTCTGATGCTGAGCCTCTGTCATTTCTCTTGTCCCATATTTCTGACTGCCACTCAGTTCAACAGTGATACCAACTCCTTCAGTCTCCCAGAACATCCTGGGAGACAGGGCCCAAACAAACAACACTGCTCATCAAAACATGTTTTAAGAGAGCCAAAAACTTTTCTAGCAGCAGAATAAGTCAATGGCATTATGAGGAGGATTTTTCTAATTCATTACTGTTGCCAAATAACGGAGACAGAGGATCAGCAGTGCTCCAAAGGAGGTAAAGACTGTCTTCTTTAAGAGCTAGGACAACAACCAGACCTCACGGGTGGCATGGCAGACTTGAATCCACTATCGAGACCATCAACAGATCTTGGGGTGCAAGCCCACCACCAAGCCTGCTGCCCAGTTAGAGACCCATGCCTGGAGCTCCATTCCTATTTGCTGCCTTGTGTCTCTTCTAACAGTACTGATCCAATGTAAGCCATGTCATAACGCCACATAAGATAGGGAAGCAGGCAAATTTTACATAAGGAGGAATTCAGAGTAATAGCCCACAATATTCTGCGTGGTCCCTACTGCACAAAATCTGGACAATTCCTTAATCTGGGCATACAGGGGCATGGTATGGAACAAATTAATTGTAATGCTAATGGAATGCGCCTGTTGCAAAGGCCTCCTCCATTATCCCTGCAGTCAACCAAAGCAGCAGGGGATTTGCCCTCTGCTCTGCTTTGCATGGTGGGTCTGCCAAGGGCTGCAGGATGGATGAGCATTAGCCCTCACAGCCTGGGTAATCATGGCTGCCCTAGCCCAAGCACCACACAGCAAAGTAGGTACCATTAACAGCCCCCTAAGTCCAGGGGTCACCTGGCAGCTAAGTGTAAAGGATGTCATTAACATCAGCGTACACTCTCCTCAGGTAGAGGTGTAGCAGGATGGCCTTGACTTTACAAATGGCACAGACTGTCTCAGCACAAAGTGGCTAGCAACTGTCTGGTAGGGGTCAGGATTGGGCACCCACTTTTGGTACAGGGTCCCAGAAGTCACACAGTGAAGCTCCCAGCAGGGACTATGAATGTGCTTCTCATCATGGTAAAGTTTAGTGCATGGTGTTGGCACCTGTATGTGCCCAGGGTGACATGCTTCCATACCCCTGGGCACAGCTACCAGGCAACGAATCTCCAGTGAACAAGGAACAAAGCTGTTACCCTGACAAAAGCTCTTGGAAAGTTTTGTGGCCATCTTCTTTTCCTCAAACAAAAGATACAGGAAAGCAAGCTCAGTTAATTCAGGGTGTCCTCCCAGGGTAACTGATTAAGTGTCAGGGTGCCATTCCCGTTCATAGTGACTGTGTCTGGCCAACAACCAAACTTGGGGCTAAGAAGAGATTTGGGCAGCAGTCTCTGCGGTATCACTACTAGCTGAGCAACAAAAATAGGACATTTTCTCTGGCTTCTGCTTAAGGACAACCAAAGCCCTGGAACTAAGTAATTTACTTAAGTAAGCTTAGCTTACTCCTGTTGTTGCAGTTGTTTTAGAAAATGTGAAAACAAAAAGCACCAATGTGTATCAGTAACTGCTATATCATTTATGACATACAGGGGTGGTCTGAGCAATAACAGTTTCAGACTTTTACTTCAAATTTTTTTTGGAAAGACTTCAGCACTGTGAAAGGAAAGCACTGCAATAATTATAACGTTATCTAATCTTTTCTCCGTAGGAGTGCTTTCTAAATACAGCCTGAGAAACACACATGACTAAAGAGAGCACAACCATTCTAATTGTTACACCTAGTCAGGGATTTTGA